GGCGGATGCAAACGCGTGGGACCGTGGTGAAATGAAAAGCACGGTAGCGTAATTAATGATTCACAGATACAAATCTGTCATTTATCCCAGATTACCAAACAACGAGAAAACTGGGCAGTCTAATTTATATATACTGGATTCAATGTAGAAACACCCTAAGCTAGAACCGTAGTAAATTAATTGCATTTCGTCCAAAACACAAGGTCAATGGGTAGCATGTGCCACAGAGTAGCGATCTTGCCTAAATAAGCCGTTGGATGATGTCATCAGAAGGAAAGTCAGGAATGCGTCATAAGCTGAAGCAAGGAAGAGTGAAGCAGACGCACATGCATTATGGAAGTACAAGAAGCTGATATCCCAACGTCGCTAACAAACTTTCCTAATGGATCCTAGCAATAACATTTCACCATCGCTCGAAAAAGTGGTAAGAGAGAAGGAGAGTTCTGCGTAAAAAAACCGCGTAATGTGTAGTTTACACAACAGCATACTAACACTACTGTATAGGCCTGTAATGAAAATGAGAAAAGTTCTTTTCGATTATTCGTAATAGCCATTTTCAAGCAGTGAAACTGCGAATCGATTTTGCGACAAGACAGCCTTCAAGGTTAATTCCATATGTTTTACAGTAATTTTTACAATTTCCGGCAAAAACAGCAATCTCCTGCTTCATCCCCATACCATGGTATTGCAAGGCACAAGTATCAGCTTTTCCGAATGGTAAACGCGAAAGATCGCTACCAATAATCTATTTTAACAATCCAAACATACAAATTTCAAACAACGACATTATGCTGTTTTTACTTCAACTTTTAATTTTAATATCAATGCGCATGAAATTATTTACCTGGTCAGCTGGAAGATGTTGTTTCAGGGAATAGTATAAGCCAAAGTAAACCAGATTCCAGGTGCCACTTCTCATGATAATCGACGTAAGCCCTCGATAGAGGCCGTTTAAGCCTAAACCACCTTCAGCAATGATGTCCCTTGTCATCCTGAATGAACTTTTTTGCTAAAAGTGACAATAACAACTACAAATTCAAGTATCAACATGCTAGCATTTAAAAAAAATACTTCAGCAAAAGTTGACGACTTGTCAACCTGTAATCTGATCTTCACGACTTCAAAAGGATTTATCACAGCTCCCTCCGTTGCGCCACTGCAAAAGCCGGCCAAGGCGTACGTCTAGAGAAGCAAAAAATCAACGATGAGAGAATGCCAATAAAACTGGATTTGCTTTCTGAGTCGGGATCAGCGGTACTTTTCTAGCAAAGCTTATTCACGTTTGTCATTTCTAACAAAATACTACTACATGGACGGTAACAAAAGTAACAATTTTATATCTCTTATATTCATTTCTAATCAGATATGAGTAATTTAATAATGCTAATCTATTGGACTATTAGCTATATAACAGACACTAACCGGCAATCCTATCGGTGGCACCATCCGAGCAAACAATAATGAATA